CTTTAAGATGCATCATTAGGTTATATGAAACTTTTTTTAATTTTACTTTTCTGATGTATAATAGATGTTTATCACTATGAACTTCCCTGTTAGTACTGCTTCTGCATTTCCATTTTCATTTGATTTAAAAGTTTTTTGAATTTTCTTCTTAATTTTTCATTGACCTTATTGTTGTTCAGGACCATATTGTTTAATTTCCATGTGTTTTGTACTTTCCAAAGTACCTCTTGCTATTAATTTCTAGCTTTATTCTGTTGTGGTCAAAAATATATTTGATATAATTTTCTTTATTTTAATTTTTGAGACTTGTTCTGTGGCATAACATATAGTCTATCCTTGAAAATGTTCCCTGTGCTGAGGAGAAAAATTTGTATTCTACAACTGTTATTTCTTTTTGCAGAAGAGGAAAATGAGTTGCTATATAACTTCACAATTAAAATGTATACGGCATTTTAATAGTATAAATATTTATTTTAATGAATTTTACATGTTTAAAATATTTAAGATATGTAGCACATGTATATCATATGTCCTGTAATTGCACGTTTGTCTTAATATGACTCTGTGTTCATGTGATCCCTATTTTTCTATATTCTAAGATCTTTGATGGAAATACGGAGGTATCTCAGAGGGTACCTAAGTACAAGTTAGTCACATAATTAGCCTGCAATAAATATTAAAACAAAGAATAAATAATTAAATAACAAGCATTGGCTATAAATGGGGTAAAGAACAGTATTGCAATGGCTGATCAGTTTTCCTCCTTATAGAACTATTGTTCTCCCTAAAAACTTCCAGCTCCAATTTTTTTTATTTTTATTTTTTTTATTTACCTGTAACTCATCTTTATTAAGCTTGGAAACAATCAATTTATAGAATTTTCATTTCAACTCCCCCACAAAAGATGAATTATTTTTGTGTTTCTCTTACTGCTTGTATTTTACCTCATTAAGAAATTGAAGACAGTCTGATTAGCTTTTATCTAAATTTACTGTCACCTAACTACCTCAGAGACCAATGGTTTAAATGAGATTGGAAAATATAATTAATGAAATTATCAGAAAATATTTCCAATAAATTACCATATCTCATTTACCTTTACAATTCCATAATCTGTCACAAACTTGGCTTACTTATCTACAAAAGCAGACTGATAATCTGTCATCCATATTTAGGAAAGACTATTTTCTTTAACTTTCTCACTGAAGTAATTACTTAGAAAATAATATTCTCCATCTGATCTTATGAAGGCACAAACATGAGAGTTTAGCTGAGGCAGAACCTAAGGACTTGAAAGCATGTCTCTCTCATAACAGAAGGAACATACAGTATTGATGGTACCTCCAAAATCTTAAGATATATACATTAGGGAAAAAGCATGGAATGAGAAGCATTATTCATTTCTTATCTCAAAATGAAGAATATTATCTTGCTTATATTGTTAGTCTTTTACCTCCATAGAAAGCATCTGCTTTAACTTGCATTAGCACAGCAGGATGTAAGCAGACCTGGTAAGTTCTAGAGACTTGAATTCAAATTATTTCTTTATCTGGGGTACAAAATTAATTTTTCAGATCTCTAACGTGGGCACACTTAAAACATTTCAATACTATATTCTGTTAATAGAGTTGTCAACATTTGAAGAAAAATTGAGAATTCAAGGAATTATTATCATTTTCTAGAGTTAATTAAATACAGTTTCTACTAACATTCATTTCCAGTTCTCACCAACCCTGAGTCTATGATTAGCAGAGATATGTCATAGCAGAATTGTATTCTTAACTCATACAGTGAAGGAACCACCAGTCTCCACTACAATACTATATTGTTTCTGTTTTCAGGTAAGACCATCTTAACTTCCATTTCTTTAGCAATGGATTTACTTTCTGCTTTGCTGACACTGCTGGATAAGAAAAAGCCACAGATATTAATAGCAGTGCGAACAATTGTCTGTAAAATTTGGTTATTAAAATTGCTATGTTAAAGTAAAGATACTATAAAATAAATATTCTCTTTTACAAAACAAAATTCTTATTACAAAAATACAAAATCACTGTGTTTTAATCCTCTTAAAACATCTTTCTTTAATAACGGTGCTTATGTTAAATTCACTGAAATAAAGCACATTTCATTAAAATTATATTGAGGCATTCTTGAAAGACACAGCACCACAGGCAATCCTAGGATGCCCTAGTGTCGGATTCTGTGAGTCAGTCTGCCACATATTGAACACTATAGAAATACGAGGTTGGTAAATGGAACTTTTATGAGTCAATAGCATAACCTTCCAATTATGTTCAAAAATACACGGAAATACATACGTAAAAGCAAAATTCTTCAAATCGCATTAATTTTAAAGTTTTTTTTTTTAAGTGTGCAGAAACAATTTCATTTTTACAAAGTGATTCAAAGGTACAGAAGACTGTAATATAAGCCAGCTGCCCTACCCTTGCTTCCATCTGTCAACTCTTTTCATAACTCAAAGTTCTGATGTAAACTGAAAGCAAGCATCAGACACAAATAAATGAACCGTTTTTCCTGTGTATTTTCTGTCATATCACACTGCGGTGTTTTGACTGCCACACAGATTGATGTAGCAGGTAAAATAATAAGGTATTGAGAGATAGCACTACAAGAGAACTGAACACAATTGAAGCATATATGGTAGCAACACTTGTCTCTAGCAGAACTACTCCAATGTTGTATTTTCTGTTTGCATAATACAAATATAATGGTTCTTGTAACTTTTTGTTTTCTTTTTGGAGTGCTATAATACTTCATGTTATGTTGCTTCTCTCCATGTTCTATCGTACATTCCTTATAGATAATAGTACTTATATTTAGTGTAGACTTTTATAAAGTCTTCTTTATGTATTCCTCATTACAGTTTTCCTAACTCTGTGGAGGCTACATCCAATAAATATCCAAAACTATCCCTAATTGTGAATTTTTAAAACTTGTGGGATTCTAAAACAATCCCAATTGTAAAAATATGTGCTATTAACTATGATTGTTGTACAATAAATTTGAATTATGGATTCTGATATATCCAAATAAACATATGTACAACTTCATCAATACCATATTAGAGGATACATTCTAGAATTTCATTAATTGAATAGAATCACCTAGAGAAATTTAAGATTTTTCTAGTCCTCAGTTAAGAAATGAACTAATACTTATATGATATTTATCTATCAACCAAAATTAAAATTCCCTAGAATAAAAAAATCATGTAACAATGCATATATTTATTCTGAAACATACATATGTGAAAGCAGAATTTAATCAATACCCTGGAGTATTGAGTTTAGTTCTCAAATTTAAATTGGTGAACTATGAGCTTTGCAGATATTTCCTAGGGAACAATTTCCAATTACCTTGGGTTACAATGGATATGTGAATGGAAACCTGGTGATTTTCTAGATTTCTTTGTTGTTTGGTTTTGAATTCACCCAGGGAATTGCTTAAGCCAGCAATATAACCTTCAAGGGAAAAAATAGGTAGCATATGTCCAGTGTGCGTAGATTGAGGCAAGTTTCAAAAGAAGATGATGATGATGCTTTAATTTAAATATGGTGCTGAAGTATTATACACAAACTTACATCTATAATGCCATCCAAGTAAACAATAATAGATAAGTTAATGTTTAAAAATGAATAACTGCAGGGGATATCCATCCATCTATCTATCTACTCTAGCAGATCAGATATCAGCTTGTGCAGGGAATGGCTTTCTTCTACCTATTCTAAAAATTGCATATTCAAAAATATTATTAGTATATAGATTTCTGATTTCAGTCCCTGTTTTTATTAATCTTTACAATCTACCTGAGAAACCAATTAATCCACATTCACTTTGGATGAATGAACTTAGATTTTTTTTTTTTTTTTCTGAGATAGAGTTTCACTCTATTGCTCAGGCTGGAGTACAGTGGTGTGATCTCGGCTCACTGCAACCTCTGTCTCCTGGCTTCAAGCAATTCTCCTGCCTCACCCTCCTGAGTAGCTGGGACTACAATCCCGTGCCTACATGCTTGGCTAATTTTTGTATTTTTAGTAGAGATGGGGTCTCACCATGTTGACTAGGCTTGTCTTAAACCACTGACCTCAAGTAACCCACCCACCTCTGCCTCCCAAAGTACTGGGATTACAGGCATGAGACACCACGCTCAGCCCACGAACTTAGATTTTACTTTTTTTAAATATGGTATATAATAGTTGTAAAAAATGTATGAAATAATGTGGTATTTTGATAAAAGCATACCATATGTAATGATCAAATCTTGGTAATTGTGATATCCTACATTTCAAGCATTTATTACTGCTTTGTGTTAAAGACATTTCAACTATATTCTTTTTGTTATTTTGAAATACACAATAAATTAATGTTGACTCTATGGTTCTATTGTGCTATCAAACACTAGATCTTATTCCTTCCATCTAGTTGTAATTTGTATCCATTAACTATTCCCTTTTTATTCCTCCAAGCCCCCAGATACCAATTATGGAAGACTATATTAGCAGCAGTTATTTCTGTGGAAACAAAAGCATTGGTGAGCTAATATCCCTCTACTGGAACATTCACTAAATTCTTGAGTCAGTCAGTGTTTTCACCAAAAAAAAAGGTATAACACTCCAAAACCAGTAGGTAATTATTTCAAGCCGTTTCTGCATTCCTATTTGCTTGGTTGTAGTCGCCCTATGCTTGCTGTAAGATTTTTGTTTTCACAATTTATTATGTAATTTGGTTTGAATATTCTAGACCATTGTTTCCAAAAGTGTTCTTCCAAGATATCTAGGAAATTTTACTACCTGATTTTATGAGGGATTGGCTTCTCGAGATAATTATTCATTTAACAAAAGCTTGATGAGAAGCAACAAATAAACCAGGCTTACAAAGATAAAGTAGTTGCCAGTGAAAATTTATCAATAATTTCTCAGAGTAGTGGAGGAAGATTGGCATATAAGCAAATGAATTACAATATGGGTGGTACTTACTGTGACCAAGGTACAAATTTAAGGCTTCAGAATATCTATCTCTGCCTGTGAGTTAGAAAAAGCCTCCCAGGAGATATGGCATTTAAGAAAAGGCTCAAAAGTTGACTTTTTATAGTAAAGAAGGGGGAAGCAACTCTGAAAAGAAAAAAAAAATAATAATAATAAGCATGGCAAAAGGCAAAGTCTAAGAAAAAAAGTATTGTGTTTGCAAATTGCTGAAAAATGTGTTAATAATTGACATTTATAGGAGACAAGACAAACGGTAAGACAGAATACAATAACTGGAGAGAAGTAAAAATCGAACATACTGGGTAGAGGCCTATTTGTCAGGCTAATGAATTCTGACTGCTCTTGAAGGCAAAGGTAAGCTAATGGGGAGTGTCAATTACCATTTTAAAAAGCAATAGAGAAGACTAATAAGGGGAGCTAACTGAAGACTAGGTACACCAAAGGGTAAGCAGTTAGAAAAGCTGCAGTGAGAGATTATGAGTTTAACTCTGGCAGTGGCACTGCAGGTGGAGAGAAGCCAGGCCCAAATGACTGTCTCAGGGTGACAGCTCAGTCAAGAACAGGGTAAGCACATTATCGGCTTTTGTGTGTGGGTTCCTGTGTCCAAAAATCTTTCAAGATCCACCTGGTATGCGCAATATGTTTATAAAGCACTATTATTTAGACAATATAAAATTTCCGTTTGCCTATACTCTCCTGCAAACATTATTCTAATTTCTGCATTTTCTTCTGGGTATGCTACAGAACTAGCAGCTCTTACAGCTGACAACTTCAATCTACCATGTTTAGAAAAACCTCAGTTAATCATGAGATTTTTTTTCTTAGCTATATTACCTTGGACATCTGTAGGAGATACTCTTCCTTCTTTCAAATGAGTTCTAGACTAGGTCCCTTTATCATATTGCTTTTCAGTATAAATTTCAACGAGGATGAAACAGTTAGGGTTCCCTAATTTAGTTCCTAACTCGTTAGGAGTCCTTAAGTTCCTAAGGAGAGAAGGTAGCAGAAATCCAGATTTGTATGCAAATTTTCCCAGATAAAAAATCTGAGTGCCAAATGGTTTATAGGCAACTAGTTTTCAGCAGTACCAGACTCACAGCTGTTAGTAATGTTACATATTTAGTGAAGTAATTGACCTAGTATATAAATATTCAGGGTTTTTGAGGGTAATTGTCATTGCAAACACCCTGTGAAGTTGATAGCCAATGTGAGTTCATGGCAAGTTTGATGCACAGACCAGACCAAACAGATGTTATCAGAATAGAAAAAAAAAAATTATGTAATCACTTTCCTTTTTTTGGTGAGATGCAAAAGAACCCATGCAGAAGCTTATTTATCCTGTCAACACATTTTAACTGAGAGCCTCATCTTTACATTTACCAAGCTAAAATTTTGAACAAGATAGACATGGCCCATAACTCACTTGGGTATTACTTGACAATAGGGGTAACAGAGACAAAATAAACAAACCACTAATTAAAATTATTGCAACTTGTGAAATGACTGTAAAGTGAAAGAGAAAGATCAATTAGATCACATTCCAGCATAGAGAACAGTGAGTTGAGGGAGGCAGACAGCAACATCTCAGGTGAACCTACTCTCTGCTTGTCAGACACTTCATTTCCCACATGATATTCAGCTCATTCAGAAGAAAGCTAATCTTATTCATTCATTCGAAAAATATTTATTGATTCTTATTGATCATTAAATTCTGAAAATTGGGAAAACTGACACCAATTGCTTTCAAATACTAAGTAGGTCCTCTAATATTTATGCTAATTCCACTAATTCCTCCTTTTTGATGCAGTACATTTATGGAAATGGAACAATTACACTTTCTTAACCCCTTTTCCATTTGCCCCAAGAATACTCACTAGTGGTGCTTGCAGCTGCAGCATTTACCCCAAGATAACTTTGTCACACAATATCTCACTTTTATTATTATTTGTGCAGCATTCTAGTACATCAACTTTGGAAACAAAAGACATCATTCTATTTATAGCATTTTGGTTTTGGTAGTGGGATTTACATTTACAAAATATAGTAATTCTCAATCGCTCTAAATGTCATATCCTAGAAAATGTAGCATTCCTATGCATGATGTTAATATCATTCTGTAGCAGTTGTTGGTTGGAGATAAACTTGATGAATCCGATTTTTCCAAAATAGACGATTGTGATGATTTAGACGATTCTGATGTTAGTTTTGTTTGGAAGTAACTCCAAGAACAGTTTGTATATTTTATTTTCAAACTGAACACCAGTCAGATTTGCTTCAGCCTCAAAGAGCGTGTTTATGTAAAGTTAAATGAGCACTGGCAGTGAGCTGCACATTTTCTTACAAACCAGGGAAAGGGTTAACGGTTTCTTTTGTTGTTGTTGTAATGGTTATAAAAGGAAAACAAAGAAAGAATACAAACACTCACTGTGATGGTTAATTTTATGCATCAACTTGACTGAGCTAAAGGATGCCCAGATAGCTGGTAAAACATTACTTCTGAGTATATCTTCAAGAGTGTTTCTGGAAGAGATTAGCATTTGAATCAGTAGGCAGAGTAAAGATTGCTTTCATCAACATGGGTGAACATCATACAATCTGTTGAGGGTCCAAACAGAAAAAAAGGGAGAAGGTCAAATTTGCTTACTGTTTGCATTGAGCTATCCATCTTCACCTGCCCTTGCACATTATTGTTCCTGGTTTATGGGTCTTTGGATTCAGGCAAGGACTTACACCATTACTTATGCATGCTTATGCTTTCACGCCTTTGACTCAGACCAGAATTTACACCATCAGTTACCCTCTGGTTATCAGGCTTTTAGAGTTGCATTTGAGACTGAATTGCACCCCCAGCATTCCTGATTTTCCAAATTGCAGGCACTGTATCATGGGACTTCTCAATCTTCATAATCACTTGAGTCAATTCCCATAATCTCTCTCTCTCTCTCTCTACCCCTGCCTCCCCCCCCATTCTGGAAAACTTTGACAAAAACACTGACTTAAGTGCAACAACAACAGTAAATACATAATTTGAGAGCAGATTGAACAACAAAATAAAGCATAAAACATTGCTTCCACCTTACTTAAAAAGAAGTAACAAATTCATTGTTGTGAGAGAGTAACTTAATGCATCCAAAATTAGACAGTCTCCTTATTTAAACGTACTCCAGTTTTAGTAAAGTTAAAAATAAAATCAAATTTCAAAGTAAAACTAAGTTAAGTAAAAGTATTTTTCAAAAGTACTGAGTTGATTTTAAGATGTGGTTATAAGAATAACATTTTGTAGCATTATGCAAAGTAGACGCATGTGATTACTGTCAAGAACCAAAGAGGAAGAACAATCTACCAGAATAAAGAAAGTACAATATTACTGAGTCCATTCATATTGATAACCTTTTTTGTATGCAGAAATTTATTAATTCACTGAAACAACAGAGTCAACATCTTCTTTTTGATATGTATTACTTATTAAAAGTAATACCACTGTTTATCCTCCTGTTCTTACAAATACAAGCTTTTGTGAAGTAAATCAATGTTCTATTTTCCTCTACTAAGATTAAGAACAATGGAGTTTAAAAATTATGGTTAAACACTTCCTTTTTCAGTTTACATAGTTTCCCACCTACTCTGAAGTCCTTCAAGTATCTAAGTGGATAACTCTCTACAAACAATTACCGAAGTGAAAATTAGAAGGCCAGAAATTAAATTGAATGTACTAAGATATGTTTCATAAATATTTCAAAAGAAAAATTCATGAAAAATAAAACAATGAATCCTAAGACAGGTAACGAATACATGTTTTTAACATTCACTCAAAAGACGGAAGAAAAGAGTTGGACTGAAAAAATCTCTGAGCCTACTTGGTCAAAATATTGGGAAAATAAAATAAATAAGAAATAAGAAATAAATAAATAAGAAATAAGACAGTCTTTGTTAATGGATTTAGCTTCTGTGGCAATGAAGCAGCAAGAAATGAAGAAACAAGGAAAATAAAAAAATAATTTTAAAAAAATGTTAAAAAAGGATTATCAGTGCCTCGTGTCTTGGTTTAATTAAACAATGAGAAATATAACTTTATTACTTGAAAATTGTAACATTTATATGACATAAGTATTTTATAACCAAGAATAAAAAGGATATTGTAGAGTAACTTTCTATAAAGAAATAAATTCTAAACCATTTTGTGATAAGTGATTAGTTTGTTATGAACCCAGAGTCTTACAACCACTAAAAACAAAATATGGAGAACTAGAAAATGTCACAGAGTGGCTAGAAGTGTGACTATCTGAACTTCACTGAAGGAAAGATAGATATCATTGAAGGAAAGATAAATACCTATACTTCCTTCAGAAAGATGTCGGCCATGGGATAGATTTTGATTCTAACTGCCATACTATAAAGGAGGTAGCAATAACAGTTAGTTTAGGGAGATGATACTCTGATACTTTCTGTCAGAGAGGCCTTGGTTTAAATTTCAAACTCTCACACTCAAAGCTTTGTAACTTTTCCTAAGTCATCTGAATTCTGTCCTTAGTTTCATGATCTGTAAACAAAGCTATTAATACACATTGTGTAGGTTTTATGAAGATTAAATGTAATAATATAGGTAAAGACAAAGGTCTTAGCACAGTATCATATGTCAGTTGGCATTCAACGAATATTAGTTATTATTCTTGCAAGGGTTTTAGTATGGTGTCAGTCCTGCATAATCAGTGTTCAGATACAGTACTTTAGTCTAACAGCACATTAATAATTTATACTAAGAAAAACAATGGGACTACGAGTTCTAACAAGAATGTGTTGCTTAAAGCAAAATGGCTAGATAAAAAGGCCAAGAAAAAATTCAATGTCAACAGCAACAAAAGGTGTTTATACGTTAATCACAGGCTTCAAATTGGGCCTGGGGGTATGCCAAAGGGCGATAGGTGAGTGTCAGGTCAGCAACATTAACATCAAGTGCCTAGATCCCTGCTCTTTTAGGCAAGACTGTGCTAAAATAAGGAATAGTAGACTGTGTGTCATAAGTATATGCTTTATGAGAATATATTCTATAGTCAATAATAACTTACTTGTACATTTTAAAATAACTTAAAAGAGTGTAATTGGATTGTTTGTAACTCAAAGAATAAATGCTTGAGTTGATGGATTCCCCATTCTCCATGATGTGCTTATTTCACATTGCAAGATTGTATCAAAACATCTCATGTACCCCATACATATATACCCACAAAAATTAAAAATAAGAAAAAAATGTTAATAAAGAATATATTCTGGAAATGTAGTTGATTCCAGAGTTTTAGGTAAAACAGAAACACAAAGAGTGCAGTAATGTAAATAAAGATGAGATCTCAAAAATTGTGTAGCTTTTCCTGTATGTTTCAGGACATGCAGGTTATGCCCTCCTAAAAAGCAAACAGAAGCTCACTTAGATTTCCTGAAAAATCCTTCAATCTCTGACTCCTCAATTTCTGTATCTACAAGGCTGTTACTGCCTAGATAAGGATTACCAAAACTGATATACTAGCATCAAGCTGTACTGGAGTCACAAATTTTCCCAAACGTGGCCTTCAGAAACTGTCAGATGAATGTCAAAATACTGGCTTGAGAATCAGTATCTAGAAAGCCTTGTGGAAAGTGACCCTGGTTCCTAGCGTAATATCTTCAAGAAGCTCCTGGATAAATCAGTATATTTGGACTTGGGTAAAATAACTTTATGACCCACTATTCACTGGCTAAATGTGCCAGTTATATTTCAGATTTTTGTGTGGAGTATCCAGGTCCACTAAGAAAGAAATCTCAACTGGAGTGCAGATGGAAAGATGGACAGAAATTATATACTTTTATTGTGAATTTAATAGAGATTTAAATTTACAATTAAAGTTGTAAATGCTATGAATTTTCTATGACTCACAAGAAAAAATGAATAATGTTGGTAGACTGATTCGTTGAAGGGCTTTGTATTTTAAGGATGCCGATCACCTATCTATTATAAGTTTTAAAAAACATTTTCTAATTTCTGTGCTTTATCTCTTCATGTTTGTGGA